ATTTCCTCCTTTTGTGACCCTCTCCTTTCTACCCCACTTTGTGATGAGAGGCAGTGACTTACACAATGAACATAACATTGAAGGCATCAGCATTCACACTTTATAATAGCATATGTTAAAAAATGATAATTCTTGATTCTCTCCTGTAGCATAATTTTTGTTTTACTACAGTTGTTTAACCACAGACCTTCTTCTCATCATATAACTGCCTTTGGGCTAGATAGGTGTTCTCTAAGGCTGAACTTATCAAAAGGAGTACAAGAAAGCCCCAGTATCCTCAAGCTGCCTACTTGAAGCCTAGGTAATTTTATCATGAGACTTTAAGAAATTACAGAAGAACTACAGAATCACAGACTAGTTTAGGTTGGACAGGACCTCTGGAGATCGCCTGATCCAATCCCTGCTTGGAGCTGGGCAAGCTTAGATCACATTGCTTGGGGTTGTGTTTGGTTGTGTTTTAAACATCTCCAAGGCTGGAGACTCCACAGCCTCTCTGGGTGGCTGGTCCATTTTGTTCACCCTTGATGTTCAGCATCACCTTTTTTCCCCTAATGCCTAATTGGAATTTCTTTTGTTGCAACTCACGTACACTGTCTGGGTAAACTTGCTGGATGAAAGGTCTGGATGCAAGTGACATCAGGTTTCATTTGCTATGTCTGTACCAGTGAAATTAGAGGTTCTGTAACTTTTATAGGCTGCTTGGACTGCTTGAAGTTCGTGGTTGGTCTCAGTCCAGGAATGGCACCTGTGTCACAGAGCTGCCAAGGTCATTTGAACAGCTCTTCAGCTGTTCGAGCAGACCGAACAAAGATGATAAGGGCTGAAAGGACAAGCAAAACCAGCCTCTTCGTGACCAACAGTGCTCTTTCCAGACAGGCTGAAGGGATGCTGGCCGGTAGCCAGCAGTGCTTTGGTGGTGCCTGCCCTGAGTTCTGTCTCTTGCTAAGGGGACGGGTGCCCTTTGCCAGCGCATCACACAGTGTGAACATGAGTCTGGCTTTCTGCACTCACTGAGCCCCAGCGACTGCTGCCAAACGGGTGCTCTGAGGCACAGACCCATCTCCCAGCCCATCTGTCTCACCCATCAGGCCCAGCACTAGCCCAGCACCAGCATGGTGCTGGCAATGCCCTCCCCATCCCATCCCACACACCTCTGTGCAGTGAGGGAACAGACCAGCTGTGGACCCGCTGTGTCCCACCTACCCACCAGCCTGCCTTCTGCAAAGCGCCAGTACCCTCATTTGCTCTTCGGAGGGGTGCCAGCAATAACACGCCATCGGGTTCTGGCCTGCTTTAATGACTGCACACACTTCATCTTGAAGATTATGGGACTGGCCTTCTTGGACCAAACTTTACCCCAATATTTTCACCTTAGCCATATGGTTACATGCAGGGGCTCTAGAGACTCCCTTAAGACGGACACCAATGCAGATTCTGCAGTCCAGCTGTGTTCATTTTAATTTTAATTTTAATTTTAATTTTGCCATGACAAATTTGGTTCTCATTTCTTCAGCTTTAGACTACCTTGTTCTTTATGATAACAAGAGATTGTGCAGTGATGCAAAACAGGAAAAACAAGGGATGGGATACCCTCATCATCATGGTAACAAAGTGTTTAAAATAAAATAAATAAAATAAAATAAAATAAAATAAAATAAAATAAAATAAAATAAAATAAAATAAATAAAATAAAATAAAATAAAATAATAATCTCTAGAAAATGTTCAAGGAATATGTGAAGGTAGGTACCAACAGCCACTGCAGTACACCAGGCACATGGGCATCATGGCTGAGTGAGTGTTCTGCGTCTATATAGGAAATAGAAAATCCAGGAGAGAGAATTTTCTTACTGAAAATTACATTTGCCCATAAGGCCCTGATTCTGGACAGTTTCTTAGGGTAAGCTCTGACAGCATTGGCTTTGCTCTGAAGGTGCAGGATGTCTCTCGGCTACTTGCCCTTTGCAGAAAGGTGTCTGGTCTTTCCCCAATTCTGCTGATTCCAGCATGAAAAGTGGTATTTGTAGGTTGCCTTGAGACCCATTCCACCTCTGGATCCTTTGAAAATGTCTCTAGGTAGACATCCTTGGGACCTAATACCATTTGTTTTATTTTCATTACTGAGAACTGACAGAAAGACAGAAAGTGCCCTTGATTTCAGGCACTCCTGTTGCCATAGACCTGTCTTTAAAGATCAGAGGGAGGATCAGTTGCTGCCTTGTCCATGAAAATAAACAGAGCAATTTTTTCTCCATAAGGAATGCCTTCTTCTCTGGGAGTGGGAGGGATTTTTTCCTCTTACTGAGCGCACCATTTTCTGTCAGCAGGGAGGACATTTAATAAGAGGTGGGTCTTCTCAAGACTGTTTTTTGGGGAAAGAGAAATCTCTTTTGTGACGTAAATATATGGCTAATCTTGCTTGGTAGCTGCCAGGTTTGTCTTCTAAAGCATCTTTAATGGATGCTTTTCCATCTTTTCCTTTCCCCATTGCACCCTGTGTTTCTAACATCCCAGGGTCAAGCCTTGGTATCCATCTGAAACACTGATGGAGAACAAACCCTGCAGGCTAATCAGCAGCAGAGGTGGATGTCCTCAGGACAACGAGTGCAGAAGATAGTCACAGCACTCTTTGCACTGAAATGCTCCTTGTGTTAGGGAAGGGAATCAAAACATGATGGTTCCCCGGGTCTTGGCTGGGATTTGTAGCTACGGCCTCCTGCATGCTTCTGAAACACTGAGGAGCTTTCTGGACATCTTGGCTGTGCTGCCAGACCTTGGCTCCTGCGTAGCTGCTCTGACTTCCAGCACTCTTGGAACATACGCTGACTTCAAGGGTGTTGGTAGGCTGAAAATCCAGCTGCACTTCTGAAGCTTAAACACAGGCTCGGGAATCCAACTTAAGCTTTGATTTTTTTTCTTCTTTTTTTTTTTTTTTTGGAAAAGTATGCCTTCAGTCAACAAAGCAATACAGGACTTGGCCTGGCTTTCCTTCAAAAACCAGCAGTGTATTATAGAGCTCGTGCAGTCTGAGCTCTGCTGTGAGCCTGCCATCAGAAGGATGTGGCTCTCTCAGATAAACAGAGCCTTATCTAATTAGTTATTTATATATCAACAATCACCACAGAGTGCTGAATGCTGCAAAATTATATCAGAGGTGTGAGGAGGAAATTAAACTTCATGCTTTGAAATGCAAGAAAGCATTCACAATCCTAGGAATAACTTGCCTCTTGCTCTGTCCTTTCACAGGGCTGTTTGACCCCTAGACTGAGCTCTGGAAAATAAATGCCAAAGCCCCAGCTCTGTGTTTTTCAGAGTGATATCTTACAGTTTCTCACCGAGCAGTCTCAGTGACTCTTGGAGTAGTCCCTCCTCAGGAAAGAACAAGTGATAGCTGAATTTCAGCCCTTTCACAGCTACTGCAATGTGCCTGATGCAACCCAGACAGCTGCCTCCTGCAAATTTGACCGAGTTCACCAAAGACCTCTGCAAGCTACTCATTTCAGATGGCAGTCCAAAGGGCAAGGGCTCTCTGCCCTGTTTGCAATCCAGCCTGCCCATTAAGCCTTTTCCCTCTTTCTTTAAAGGTCAGAATTAAATGGATATCCCTTTCCCACTTTACAGACAAATGCTTTGGTAAGTGAGTGCTCAGAAGCCCTGGGGATGAATAGAGAACATAGCAAATATCCTGACTGACAGACGAGAATTTAAAAATATGGTATTGTGCTTGTAATATGGAAGGGGAGGTGAAACTCCAGTTGTTAGATTTGTCAGGGGTGGCTCTCTTCTCTGCAAGCTATTATCTTCTGTACCAAATGAGTATTAATGTTGGAGAGTCAAGCTGCGGAGCACATGAGGATTCTTAATATTCAGTAAACAGATCCACTTGCAGCTCCTGAGCACTGGCAATCTGCAGCAAAAGACTTCCCAAAGCAGGCTACAGCTGCTGTGCTGAGAGCCAGAGCCAGAGGAGAGGTCAAGCTACGTCTTGGGGCCAGCCTTCTCCCAGGGACGAGGAAGACTTCTTTCCCGTAGCCAGAATGAGTATGTGTTCCCTCTGTATTGCCACATGGAGCTGAGTTTCCGTGGGAAGTGGTAAGGGAAGCAAGCAGGTAGCACTTGGTCAGAGCTACCCAGCAACGCTGCAAGAAAGCCAAAATGCTTTGCAGAGATGTGTTAGTGAATCTCTGCTGAAACGTGGCCAGAAACCCCACTGGCTTCCTGCCAGACTGCCTCAAACCTCCTGGGTTTTGAAAGAAAGAGGAAATAAAATTGAATTTTAAAAAATATATATATTTGAGAAACCATTTTTGTAAATCTAATGAAGCACTTCGGTGCGTACATTGGTTGGCTGATGCAGCCACAAACACACCTGGGGTGTGCTGACACCAGGATGTCCATGAGGGTTGCTCAAACTGCCTGATGCCCAAGCCTTCACCCTTCCCCTTCCTTACTGGCTTTCTGGAGGGTGACAAAGAGGGAAACTGAAACTTCCCTGTGCACCTTCCCCAGTTCTTTCACTTGCTGAGAGTGTGTTGCTATTCTTTCTTTTTGAAAAAGCTTTTGTTCTGCATTGTGTGTAGGTGGGTCACCTCATTCATTTTCTGCACTAAACCATATTTACTGCATTCTGCTGTGTTACAATGGACTGTACCCTCCCATTCCTCATCTTTATAACAACAATAAACCCTTAAAATTAAAGTCATTACAATTTAGATAGAAAAATGTAATAAACACTGAAAGAAGAGTCTAAAAGGTCACAGTTTTTTTTAACTAAATATTAAAATTCTTGCATGATCGTGGTGAATTCTGATGAAAAATCTTTATCAAAACTGGGTCTTATTTTTTAGTAAGAGAACACATGAGGTTCGGTACTGAAGGTCTTGATGTGTATATGCATGAGCATACACACATACACCGATGGCATGTGGCAGCCTTGGCTGTGACTCTAAATTCTGAAGTCTTTCACAGACATTGGCTAAAGGGAATATAAATTCTTAATGTGGCTTAGATCAAGGTGGCAAGATGATGTAAAAAGTGAGGGAATTTTTTCCTTAACCTAAGTCTCCTTACTAGAATTAATCTACTTGCAATGTTTTCACTTAGAGGTACTTAGCTGAAGCTGGGCAAGGTGGAGGTCTCGCGCAATGTGCAAGTCAAATTCTCAGTCTTGTGTGTGCAACGTGCGAAAAAAAAAGGAAGCAGGAAGAGGACAGCACGAACACCTTTTTCCTCTCTTGGGAGTGGAAGAGCCAGCTCGCTGCATGACCATCCTTCCTCAGATTGTTTCTTCTGGGTAGTTCGTGGTGACAGCAGGCTTTGAGGTGGGTGCGGAAAGCTGCCTCTGTGGGTGCTGGAAGGAATTTTGCAAACCTATAGGGGGTCAAGGGGGAGAAAGCAAGCAAAAGGGCTTGTGGGAGGAACGGAGATTTGGGTGTCTGGGATGCTCCTGGTTATGGAGTGGTGATATGACATTGCTCTGAATGATATGACATGGCAGGGGTTTAGAGAGAGAGGGCTGAAAGCATGTGTTTGATGTGGTGGAAGGTGAAACCAGTGGGGTGACTTGAAAGAGTCAGGAAGGAAGTATAGAAAAAAAGATCTTAGCAGCAATATTTCTTTTATATATATATATATATATATCTTTTATATTTATATTTATGCTTATGGTGATCATGATGTCAAAGGAAAGGACAGCAGTGTTTCCAGAACAGTTGCCACAGAGGAGGAAAAAATAACAGTCAAGAGCATGGAAGATGTGAAAATTTGGTGGGCTGAGGGGAGATGGTTTTGCAGTAGGACAAAGCAACAGCTGTATATTGCAGCCTGAACATGAGTATTTGGTGGAAGGGACAACTTGAAGATGAGACCAGGATGCAGGCCTCAAAGAAGGATCACAATACTGCTCCCGCCCTGATGGGGGAAAAGCAGAGATGCTGAAGGACATACCACCTTGCTGAAATCCTTTGCATCTGAAAAGCTAAGAATGAAGAGCAAGCTCTGTGGAGCAGGACCCAAATTGTTGAAGCATTATATGTTTAAAAATGCCACAAAACCCAGAGCTTTTCTTTCTAAGTAGCATTTATTTATCTTCACATTCCTTTGGCTTGTGCAGCTTCTCTGCCTGGTTGCTGGCAAAGCATTTCTGCTCCTTACAGCAGCTCCCTTGCATTTCATGCAGGTCCCCCTACCAAGGCACAACAGCAACAGGCTGGCTGTTTAGCATGGCTTAACAAGCTTCAAAAGCACTGTGCCTCTTTGCCCCTCATTGATTTACAGTGCCAGGGCTGTGTTGTGTTGAGCTTATATTTTGTTTATTATTTCATTGTCCATTTCTAAACAGCAACCTCAAATATTTCCCACAGAAACTGCACCTCATCTTCTCCTTTTCTTTGCTCAGAATGGTGATTAAATAAAATACAGCTTTGGTTATCTTCCCTTTTCAATACCCTTTCTGCTCCTGCAATAGTGTAACTTGTGCCACCGTTTAGACAATATAATGAGGGTTATCATTGGAGTGATTAAATCGCTGTGTTTGAACACCCTGGTTTAGCTTATTGCCATTGGAACAAACTGTGCGGATGCTGACATTTTCACAGTGGATAATGTGAAATTGCCTGGTCCTCCTGGGTTTCTGATCTTCTAAGCCTATGAACTATGGATTATGTTCTCAGAACATGCGTTTTGTTGCAGGTGGAATAAGGACATTATTCCATCGCTCATAGGCTGAAAAGAACTTGCCCAGAAATGGGAAATGCTGCTGAAAAAGCCTTGCCTTCTCGGAGCTGAGGTTGTGATGTGGTACAACCTGAACGCGTGCTATATGGCACATGGTGTACAATACATGCCATTACCTGCACCATGTATTAAATTACGGAGCGGAAATCAGTCTCATAATCAGTCTCTGATTATGCTCCTCACTTTAGTTACATGCAGGAGGAGAGCATCTGCTTCTTCTTTTCAAGCACTTGTTTATAGAGCAAGTCTTCCTGCCAAGAATATAAGTGCAGGACTGGTTGTAGCCCTGCTGCAGGAGAAAACTGAGCTGGGAGATGCATCTGAAGTTCATGCAAGATGTGGGTTCCTCCTGGAGATGGGATGGGGGAATACAGCTCTATGGCAAGACCTCTTTGGGAACAATTCCCAGAAGTTCAGAGGAGCCTCCATCTGCTTTGCAGCCCTTCTTCTGCAGGGGCTTGTTGTTGTGGAGCAGCAAATGCTGGCCCCACCAACACTCCTCATCTACAGGTCTTGGCTACCTTTCTGTTTTTCCTTACCAAGAAGCCTTTCCACAGTTGTTTTCTTGCTCTTCTTCTGTCTTCTGGGACAGCCCTCTGACTTGTAGTAGTAATTTGCCAGGTCTCTGGGGTCTTGAAGTTGAAGTAGCAAAGCTAGAGTTTCCTTCTCTGTACTTTCCACCTCCCCTCTCTCAGCACAGGAACCCAGAGACCTGGCAATGAGGAAGAAGCCACCCACGTCAACAGCTTCAGTGTGCGCTTTCTTTCTGGGGAAGCAAGCCTGGGCAAGGACATCATGAGCTCTTCTCTTCAGAGTGCAACAATCTCATTGTTTTTTAATTCTTTGGTCAGATTTTTAAAGCTGTTCAGCCTCTCCTTGGAGCATTAATAATTTTTCAGGGTTTCACTTTAAAAATAATGGAATAATGGCAAGCTAGAACATCCAAAAAACTTCTAAATTAGTGCAATCAATGCCAAGCATATCAGTGCTAAGCCAAAAATCCAGAGCCTTGGACAACAGATCATTCAGCTAGTTGATGTATATTCATTAATTGGGGTGGGAGTAGGGAGGGAGCAATGCACAAATGGAAGTGAATTCTTTTTTGGAGTTTATGTATACAAATATTAAAATGGGGCTGGTTTTGTTTCATTGTTAAATTCCAGAGTGTTTTGGTTTTGTTTTGTTTTTTCTCTCAAAAACATGTTCTTAGTCCCAGCAAACCGCTGGAGTAACAATAGCTAATTTAATTTGTCATCTTCTCCGTGCACAGTTGTGGATGGAAAGGAAAGCTCTGCTTTGGCATCAAAGACCTTCAAGACCGAGCTCGGCTAGCTGTAAGCCTTTTTAAGAATAATGCTTGGTTACTAATCTGTGTGTGAGTAAATTCAGAGCTCCTCGAAAGTTGGAAAGGTTGCGTTCATGGCTCGCAGCCTGTTCCAACCTGAGGGCTGGCTCCCTGCGTGTTGTCCTCTTCGTTGCCTAGCACTGCCTGTCTTTCACTGCGCTTCATAGCAGGCTCGCAAGGCCACGTGTAGGCTCCAAATAGCAACTTGCAGGGGAGAGTCGGCCCCAGAAGGGTTTCCCCTATTTTCTGAAAGCCACCACGGAACAGTGACACAAATCTTTGTATTTAGTGATCGCATCTCCAGAGATCTTTGAGATAAAGCCACCCAATTGAATGCCTTTCTAAATGTCGTATTACTGCTAATCCTGGGTTAAGGGATAAGGGGATAAAAAGGGAACAGCCGCCTCATTAAGAGGGTGACCGGGGGCTCATTTTGCATTTAAGCTCTTAACTTGGCTTTACCATAAATCACCGAATCCACATGAACTCGGTGAAAAGCAGGTAGCAGCACTGCCAGACCCTGCTGGTGCATGCACAGAAGCTGGTGGCTTCTACTCTTTTGTGGTTTTTCTCTTCAGGAAAGCGTGAGAGGAGGAAATGGGAGTGATTCATGTTTCTGCCACCCTTGTTTCGGTGCTGCTGCCCATCCTCAGCCACGTGGCCGTGGGAGCAGGAGGGAAGTCCCCGTTCCTCCCCCGAGCGTGGGGAATGCTGCTGGTGTGTCCCAGCTCTTCTGAGGCGAGAGGCCGAACCTGGGCTCCTGTCACCTGTAATGTGCTTACAACAGCTTTACAAAGTGGGGCTAAGTGCCAAGCTGCTGCATTTCCTCACTGGGCTGGATCTGAGCTGATCACTGATCGCCGTGTGTGGGCTCCCCCCGGCTCCCTCCAGGCCTGGCTGCAGCTGGGTGAGCATCCAGCATCCAGCATCCAGCATCCAGCACAAGCTGCCTCGGGCCAGCCAGAAGCACCTTCCCCAGCAGCTGCAGGAGGGACACAGGATGTGATCAGGGCTCCTCAGCTCCACTGGTTTGCAACAGAGTAGGCAGAGCAGTGCAAAAAATGAAGGGGGATGGTTTGGGTGCTGAGGGTTGGTGATGAAAGAGAAGCACAAGCACAAATTTCCTGTTGATTTTTTATTATTATTATTTTTATTTTTTGCTGCTTTGAATATTGCTGAAGCATCTTGCACGCCTGGTTGGTTTGGGGTTCCAAAGAAGGAGACATTCAGTTTCTAGAGAGCACAAGCCCAGCTGTGCTCAGGCTTTTGCAGCTGTGTGTATTGGAAAGTAAACAGTGCATCCAGCTAGAAACTGCAGCTGGCAAGAGGCTGAATGAAAGAAATGCTGAAGTGTCTATCTGGGCCTGAAAATCTGTGTCAGGGTTGAGATCACTGGAGATGTGAGTTTGGATTCCAAAGGTGGCTTCACCTGAGTTTGCTTCACTGTTTAACTACGTCCATTAGCCAAAATTACTGGGGTATGAACAGCAAGAGGTTGTTGTGTTGTATGGGGCAAGGCTGACTCGAAATGAAAAGCTGAGTGGGAGAACTGCAGATTTTCTTTCCAAGTGTTTTGTCATAAGTGGAGCCCTTTAGGGGAGGGGGAGAGGAGTGGGGAGACGACAAGCACTTGACATTTTGGGCTATTCTTTTTCAACATCCTTTAAAATATTTCTGCTAAACAAATTCCCAGAGTTGTGTCCAGATCTCCTTTCAGTTATGTTAGCACAGACTTTAAAGAAGAACAGACCAGTTCTTTCTTAATTGTTTTTTAATTGTGATCTCTTTTTAAATTGTCTTAAAAGCTGCTTTGTTTGTGGTAAAGAGAGCCACTTATTCTGTTCCCACCCAGGGAATGGCAGCATGATGCGAAAAAGCAAGAAAACAGAATATTGTATTCCAGCACAAAGTATCCATTGCTGAGGGACAGGAGCCTCTAGTTTTTTCCTTGAGATGTAAAATAAAGTAAAATTAAATTAAATGGTAGTGGTGGTGTGTGAGGGGTGTTAAATTAATCCCTGGGCACTGTGGGTGCCCCAGTATTTGCCATATTGCTTTTCTGTGGTGCAGGCAGTGCCGTGGGCATGCAGTGGCAGCACAGAACCCAAGAGCATCCCCTGCCTCCCACTGCTGTGGGTGTGAGGGCAGCAGAGCTGCCCAGTGCTTCCTTGCTGTTCGTGTTTGCTTGCCCTTCTGTGGCTGGGGGTTGTTGGAAGGCACTGGGAGGTGATTGCTGTGGGC